TAATTATACTAGCTAGAATATATACCAAATGATTATACTAGCTAAAATATATACCAGATGATTTTACTAGCTAGAATATTTACCAAATGATTATACTAGCTAGAATATATGCCAAATGATTATACTAGCTAGAATATATACCAAATGATTATACTAGCTAGAATATATACCAAATGATTATACTAGCTCAGATATAGACCCAATGAACTATTTTATTTAGCTCTGCTGTCTTTGGAATAAGTCAACTAAAAAATAACTCACAACGTGACATTACTCGTAAAAGATTGAAATAAGCACACAAAAAACGTTTATATTGAATGTCATTTTGAGGTACATTTTTAAGAAATATCATAGAAGTTTTGTAGTGGGAGTCAAAAATATGAGTTATTGAACCAACAAAGACACAAATGTACATTAAAAATACATTTGATAATGATAAACGAGAATATTTGCATTAAATTTAAGGGAGAAATAACTATATCCCTGTCATCTAGTGCAATATTTTTACAGTTTGATGTGTTATTGGCGTCAACTTTAACATCCAGTGATGGTAGCTGACTATAACACTGTTCATTAGAATATTGGCCTGTCTTGAAAAGATTGACAATATCAAATTAATAGCTATTGAAATAGCATTTGCAAATTAATCAAAGAACAAATTGATTTTACTATGATGTAGACCCAATGATATAGCTCGCTCAAATATACTCAAAAAAAAATTCAAAAGTTCTGTACATGACACAAGAGCAGATGCAGCTCGTGACCATAATCTCGTCATGGCCAAAGTGAGACTGAATTTGAACAAGATCGGACAAAAGAACAAAACTGTGTTTAGATACGAAGTGAACAAACTGAAAGTACCAGAAATCCAGCAGATGTTTGAATTGAAAAGAAAAAAAACGAAGAAAGTGATGAGAAATTAGAAATCAGAGATGAAAAACACGAGTTAGAAACAAAGTGGGAGAATGTGAAGAGCTGTTACAACGAAACTACTAAAGAGG